AGCGATTCGCGACGACGGAGATCGATGAAACGGCAAATACGCCACATCAGGTTCACGACGGTGAATCGCAATACGACGAGGAGGAGGACATCGCAGAGAGCGAAATGAGTTTACGGTTCGTGAAAGGGGGATACAAGTGCCTCAATGTCGCGCAGAAAGAGAATGTTAAAAGATTCTCGGAGATCGACGGAAAACTTGGAGACCTTGACGGCAAAATCCCGGATCTCGACGGGAAAATGGATTCGATAATCAAATTGCTGCATCAGTCGGAAGCTAAGAATACGAACCGAACAGAGGGATCACATACAACGCCTACTCAATCGCGAGCTCAGAATCAGGTACACGCTACTAATCTGGAACAAAACCGGGAAAATCAACTAGGTTATCGATCTGGGGGATTGAACATTGCGAATATAGAGAGTATGCTGCAGAAAGTAGAAATGCCTGCATTTTCAGGGAAACATCCGTATATCTGGATTCAAGATGTTGAGCGGTTCTTCAATATTGGACGTTATGATGATGAAGAACGTTTGGAGATGGTGGCGCTGAGTATGGAAGGCAGGGTTAAGAAATGGTTTGCGTGGGAATTGAAGAGAAAGGGGTTTCATAGTTGGTTGGACTTCAAGAACAAACTGGCGTTGCGCTTTACTGAGTCCCTTGAAGAAGATCCGGCAATACGACTATTCTCTATTAAGCAGACAGGATCCATTACTGACTATATATCAGAGTTTGAGGAGCTTTCAGAGTTGGTAGAGGGAATAGATGACGAGCATTTGACAAAGATTTTTTACAACGGGTTGAATCAAGAGATGAAAGAGGTGATTCGCATGAAGGAACCAGTGGGTTTAGAGAATCACATTGCAGCGGTTTTGAGGATGGAGTCTAGTGCATTTTGCAAGGTAGTGAGTACAGCAACTAAAGGTGAGGTGAGACCTCCGAGGACTTATGTTTCATATCCGCTGAAGTCATCCTCAAATTACAATTCTCAGCGCAATACTAATTCCCAAGACGTCAAGTCGGGTAAAACATATAATCAGCCGGGACAACCGCAAGACAGAAGAGATAGTGGAGCTCAGTCTAAAGGCAGTGATAATCGGCTTAAACAGAAGTTTACACCTGAAGAGTTAGATCAGATGAGAAGAGATATGATATGCTTTAAATGTGGCGCCAAAGGATGGACCAGAGCTCATAAATGTACTAACAGAGAACTCAGGGTCATCACAGTTATCAATGGGGCTTACCGGATATTAGCGTCGATATGTCAAAGGGTATGGGTCTATAGCAAAGCCGTTGACAGATCTCCTTAAGAAAGACAGTTTTCAGTGGTCAAGAGAAGCGCAAGATGCATTTGAGAAGCTGAAACAAGCCATGATTTCGGCACCAGTATTGGCCCTTCCGGATTTCGATAAAACATTTGTCGTTGAATCAGACGCGTCCAGATTTGGCGTTCGGGCAGTATTAATGCAAGACCATAGGCCTATCGCGTTTTTCAGTCATGCCTTGACTCCACGAGAACAGCTCAAACCAGCTTATGAAAGAGAGTTGATGGCGGTGGTCTTGGCAGTTCTTAAATAGCGTCATTATCTACTTGGCCGGAAGTTTATGGTCCATACAGATCACCAAAGCTTGAAATACTTATTGAAACAGAAGGAGGTCAATATGGAGTATCAGAAGTGGTTGACTAAGCTGTTAGGATTTGACTTTGAGATAATCTACAAACCTGGATGTGAGAACAAGGCAGCGGATAGATTATCTAGAATTGAAACAAAGGGAACTTCAGAGTTAAATGCCGTGTTGTTATCACTGACAATTCCGACAGTATTACAGCTACATGATTTGTATAAAGAGATTGATGAGGATGGAGAATTACAGATGTTACGTCAGAAGATATTGGCAGGGCAGTGTTTAAACAAACATTACAACGTGATTGATGGTCGTATATGGTACAAACGTCGTTTAGTCATTCCAAAGACATCATCATTCATTCCACTATTGTTACATGAGTACCATGATGGTAAAGTGGGAGGACATTCAGGAGTTTTGAAGACAGTAAAGAGGGTGCAGAGGATGTTTCATTGAGAAGGATTAAGACATCAAATTCAACGATATGTGTCAGAATGCGCAGTATGTCAGACTCATAAGTACTCGATATTGTCACCAGCTGGGTTACTTCAACCGCTACCTATTCCAACGAGAATCTGGGAGGATGTGTCAATGGATTTCATTGAGGGTTTACCGAGCTCGCAAGGAGTGAACATTATCATGGTAGTGGTGGATCGGCTCAGTAAGTATGGCCACTTCGTGACGCTACGACATCCGTTTATTGCGGTGGATGTGGCGAACAAGTTCATGGCAGAGGTGGTGAAACATCATGGCTTCCCTAAGTCCATTGTTTCAGATAGGGATCGCATTTTTCTGAGTGGATTCTGGAAAGAACTTTTTCGACTATCAAGAACGAAGCTTAAATACAGCACGGCGTTTCACCCTCAAACTGACGGTCAAACAGAGGTTTTGAACAGATGTATGGAGACGTATCTGCGTTGTTTTGCATCGGGACAGCCACGTACTTGGGCTAAGTATCTGCCATGGGCGGAATTGTGGTATAACACCTCGTTTCATATGGCATTACAGACATCTCCTTTTCATGTGGTTTACGGAAGAGAACCACCTGAGCTTGTACGTTTTGAGGAGGGTTCCACTACTAACTTTGAGTTGGAGGAAGCATTACGCGAAAGAGATGCAATGCTGCAACAAATCCGACTCAATTTGGCACGAGCTCAGCATATCATGAAATCTCAGGCTGATAAACACAGACGTGACGTTGTGTTTGAGGTTGGGGACAAAGTTTACCTGAAACTCAAGCCTTACCGTCAGAATACCGTCGTTCGGCGCTATTGTCAGAAACTCTCCACAAAGTTTTTTGGCCCTTATGAAGTGGCAGAGCGTATTGGGAATGCTGCTTATCGGTTACGTTTAGCAGCAACGTCCAAAATCCATCCCGTGTTTCACGTCTCACAGCTTAAAAAGGCATTGGGTCAGGGTCAGAAACTTCAAGACTTACCACCAACGAGTACGGATTTGGTGAATGTGGTTTTGGAACCAGGTGATGTCTTAGCTTCTCGCTACACGCCTACAGGGAGCCTCGAACTGTTGGTCCAATGGAAGGGTTTATCGACTCATGAGAATACTTGGATGCCTTCTCGAGTCTTTGTGCAGCAATTTCCAGATTACAAGCTTGAGGGCAAGCTGGATTTCAAAAGGGGGTGTATTGATAGGCTACACCAAGTTTACATTCGAAGGAAGAAGAAGAAACAGAGTGTAACAGAACAGAGTCAACGTGAGGATAAGGTCAATGATGACGTGGAGAGTGAGTTGGCGAATGCGTAGCTCATGATTGGCTCGCGTATGAGAGGAGAAGAGAAGTATAAATAGAAGAAGAGTAGCTTTTATTCGAGCATCCAGAAATTACATTGTAAAAGAGAAGCGTATGTGCTTTCTTCTGATCATATGTGATCAGTGATCGAGATCGTATGTGATCGAGATCTTCATTGTAATCGAAGGAGAGATTCATTCATTTCAATACATCTTCCTTCTTGAGAGTTTGTGGATCTAAAATCTATTATAGGATCTCTTCCAACTTCTGATAGGTATAATATTCCCCAATATGCTTCCTCGGGATAATGGCTACTTTGGCCTTAAATCTCGATAAGTTTAGACATGGATCGACGACATCAATTTTGGGTATAATCGATGATTAGACCAACTTTGGGTTGAATTGTGTAACTCGGACTCTGTTACTATATTAAGTTAAATGAACTTCCAAGCCAGCAATATGTGGATTGACTCATGCTTCTTATATACTCTCTTTGTTTCTTAAATAAGGAACTTTTGAAGTTTTTATAATTTTTAAAAAAATTGTTAAAATGTCTTGTTTGCCATTCTTTTAAGTGATATAAAAATAAAATAAAATAAAATTAAAAAAGAAAAATTAAGGACAAAATAGATAATATTTAACCTAAGATAGTAAGATGTATTGGAAAATAAAAAGATCCTTCTTTTTGAAACAGAAATTTTTTCTTCGAAATATCATTTTTTAAAAAAATCAGAAAGAGAGTATAAGTTAGAATCTATTTTATAGGATAATATTTCATAATAAATAAATAAATTAACCAACTGAACTATTAACATTTGCATAATGTTGATTACAATTATAATTTATATTTCTTTGAGGGTGTCAGTTAACCCACATTCTTATAAAGTGATATACAATGGGCTAATGACAAGGATGTTCATCTAATTCAAAATGCTACCTCCTTGTCTCCGCAATCTTTGTATTTGTAATCTTCACAGCTTATAATGCTATCTGCTCTATGTGTTGTAAAATTCTTATAATTCCTGCTCCGTAAAACCGTAATATCAATGAAAAATATGCTTCATGAAAAGAAAAAAAAAGGGTGAAAGGTTATCATCGTGATACCTGGGGTGATGATGTGTGAGCAACACATTTGTTATACTTATATATGCAACATTTTCTTCTTGAACTTGTTTATTTATGTTTGTCATTAAGTCTAGTTTGGTTTCGTGATTTGTTAGTCTTTCATTTTGTTGTGAATTAAACTATAGGTTAAGAGTTAAGACAAACTTTGCTCTTGTTACATCTCTCACTTCAATTCAATTTTGGTTTAATCGGTTTAGTAGATAATAAAGTCAGTGTTACAGTTTAATTCGGTTATTTCGATCTTACTGACAATGTAGAAGAGAATGTGAGCGATTTTGAGAATTTGACGAAATTGCTTCTGACTATTTGTCCCTCATGTTCTTAAGCCAAATCTCTATTAGCAAATTCTGGACTGGAACAATAATAACAATGGCAAAACAAGAACACTAAATTTAATTAATATGGTCGTCAATACTTTACTTTTTCTCCACGGTATTGATTTACAAAAAGCCTTAGGAATTAGGATAAATAAACCCGCAAAGAGAACTCTTTGGAATCAGTTTCACCGGTCTTGTGATGATTTACTCGGTGCAGGCTTGGTAAAAGAGAACTCTTTAGAATCATTTTCACTGCCACGGCTAGTCTCACCGGTCTTTGTCTCTAGCTTATTCGGTTCAACCTTCACAGCAAGCTCGACGCTTGGTGACATGGGAGGAGTCAAAGCTTCGTTGTCTGTGTCGAGATCCGATGTCTCAGGCTCAAGCCCTTCGTATCTCATCGAATGCCCCGTGGTCTTATAACGCTGCAGTGACCGTACGGACAAAGAAGACCTAACCGTTGATCCCGTAGGGCTCACGCTTCCATCTCCACCTAGTCTCCTGGTGGTTGTGCTAGCTTTCCCGCCTCTCTTCTTCTTCACCGCGTTTCTCCATTTCTTGAGCGCCTTCGATGTCTGCTCATCGAATATCGATTGCTTCATCCGTGAACCCATCTGGATTACACAGATTTTTCTCAGGTTTACAGTTCGAACGAGAGATAATCCTCTTTTTATGTTATGAGACCAAAGTAAAGTTACCTGAGTAACGAGTGCGTAAAGAGGGAGTGTGATGTAGCTGCAAAGGCATAGCACTCCTGCACTACAAGATAACACAAAGAAAAAAAGATTCATGTATGATCATATGTGTTTGTGCAGACAAATTCAATAGCTTTGAGATTAGATTCTTACGCAATCGCTACTTTTACAAGGGCGATCTTGAAGTTAGGATGGTAGCATGAGTTTTTACCAAAGGAGTACTGCATTAACATCAATGGAGAGAAAACAGAGGATTATTAGTTCATTCTTGCAACAAATGAAATCCACAAAAGAGAAAGATATAAGTTGTTGTTACCCATATCCAGAAGAAATAAGTGATCTGAAAAGCGTTCTGCAAAAGAGAAAACATTCAAGAAAACAATCGAAATCAGAAAAGGAGAAGAGCTTGTGGTTGTTGTGTTGTTGTGAATGATCACTCTGTTTCTTTAAGTACCTGAAACAATGCGAAATGGATGAGATGGAGAATCAATTGAGGACGACGGAACCAGAAATACTCATCGTTGCCTTGCACAAGAGGCATCCCTTGAACCACCGCGTGTTTATCGGTGATACCGAGAGCCATCCTCGTCATAATCGCTTGAAGCTTTGTCCCCACAGCTAAAATGATCTGAAAACAAAAGTTAACAAGTTTATCAAAAAAACTGTGAATGAAGAAGATTATATCATTTGGAACATGTCAACAGAAAGATTATCTTACAATAACCGGAAGTGCAGTACCGAAGTATAATGCCTTGAAGCCTGAAGTACCAAGAAAAGGAGATTAAAACACAGTCCCACTCTCAAGATTTGACTATAAACACAAGAGAAGATTCTCTCACCTTCAACATTTAGGAGTAGAAATATCACAAAAGATGCCCACAGGACCGGGCTGTAACAAGAAGCAATCATTATTAGTCTTGTTGTATCATTCTTGTTTGAAGAAAGTGTTTTTAAAAGTTACCTGACTCCAACGACCAGCTTGAAATCTTCCTCCAACGATCTTTTTATGTATTTTTGGAAGTTAAATTGCCTTCCTGGACCTAGATGAACCTTCATCAACCACAACAAAGAGACTCAGCAAGAACAATGCAAGAACGATGCAAGAACAAGACATTACTAAATCTACAAATGTATCGTAAGTTGGAAAAGAAAAACTCACAGCGATGAATCCATTCCGCAATGTCAAATAGTCAGTTCTCCCAACCGATCTGAAAAACTGTCTAAAGAAACATCCCTGAAACGCATTTGTATTCATCCAAAGTGAGAACAAGATCAAGAATAGTAGAGAGTAGTAATAACAAGAGGATGATCATTCTTACAATATAGAAAAAGATTGGGATCCGAGTCCAGAAACTAGTGTGTGCTCTTACGAAAGAGGTTTCATGAGTTAGCCTAAATCTGGAAGTATCTGTAAGCAAGAACAGCAACACACACATAGTCATTAATCAGAGCTCAAGACTACAAACTATGATCACCAGAATTTTCAGATAGAGAAACCTTAAAGTCACTAATCAGAGCTCAAGACTACAAACCTCAAAAACACATAGTCGCTAATTTAGAGCTCAAAACTACAAACTATGGTAAAAAGATCGTAACTTTTGGAAGTTAAAACGAACCTACTGAAAACTCGTAATCGTGGGATGATGTCTCAGTCTCCCATTGCTTCCATCCGCGAATCTGAAAAGACACACGTTCTTTACACAACCAAGACTTTCTCAAAACTAAGCTTAGACTGTGATGTTGAAAACGAATTTTTGAAGTACCTTTAACCTCCCAAGCATCATGGTTAAGAAGCTGTACAAAACGTGGAAAATGGCTAAGAAGAATATGAGGATGTGCAACTGATGAAGTGCCTCGGCAGAGATAAGCTCTTCATAACCCTACACCATCATGAACATACCATTGTTTCATTTTACAAGACAATGTGTGTGTGTGTGTGTGTGTGTGATCCAACAAGAACATAACTCTCACCTCTTTGGTGCATTGTGTGGAGGATGTTTCACCACCTGATAGGAATCTGTGGTCGAAGGACAAGAGTTTCCTGTGACCTTCCCCTTTCTCATCTTCCTCCTCTTTAAGGGGCCCAGGAACAGGGCATGGGAGCATCGTACGAGCAACATCTGAAGGGATACAAATCTTCAAAATGTAGCTTTGTCCAAATGTCAGAAGCAAAGAGATGAATCCAAGAACCATCAGCTCTGAAACAGAGAAGAAACATTTCGTATTCAGAAGTCAGAACTGAACTCAAGAGATATCTAAAAAATTGAAACTTCCAGTCAAAGACTCAGATTTTCCAAATTCCAAAACAGAACAGAAATGATCAAAATTCATCAAAAGCATTTGCAATTTTCACCTGATTTGATCTTCTCCAAGGCATCGAGAAGGGCTTTCTTGTGCCGGTCCCATAGATACTAAATCAAGGAAAAAAACTTCACTTTTCAAAACAAATACCCAATTCAAATATGAACTTAAACCCAAAAACTCAAAGATAAAGATAAAGATAGTTCCTTTTCTCGAATCAAAGAGAACCCATTTCCATTAAAGCCTCGAAATTTCACATAAATCAAAAGAACACAGTGAGATTTAGCATAAAGTTAATGGAAAAAAAAGCCCACCGTTCCAGCTTTATGAATCAGTTTCTCCAGAAGAACAGAGACAACGATGAAGAAAGTGCAGACGGCAGCAACAGCCCAAGTCGGCGTCTGATTAAGCTCTCTATGTATGATTTGCCTCTCCTCCTCCGCCATAACCACCGTCTCTCCTCCGCCGAGTAAAGACCACCAGAGAGATAGACAAATCAGCCGCCGAAGCAAAGAAACATTGATTCCCAACATAACTCCGCCGCGTTTATTCAGACCAAGTTGTTGGGTTTTGTACCTGCTTCAGCAGCTTTCGCTACTTAAACACAACACAGAGTAATTGAAGAGAAGTTGACAAGAGTGATGAGCTGTCTACAGAATTTCACATTTGAGGAAACCAAAAACACTTTGGTTTTTGTTGTTTCACGCGGTTGCAAAAGTCTAGAGCTTTGTTACCTATTTTGTGAAAAACCCAAATCAGTGGTGGATGCAAAAACGAAATCTGCAGTTCTGAGATTATAGAATATAGATAGATAGATCCCCCTAAATCGAGGAAGTTTATATTAGTCTTTTTCTCTTTTTTGTCAGAGTCAGAAAAATGATGGATTTCTTTAATAATCATCATCTATGGGGTTTAGGCAGAAGAAGAAGAGAAGAGAGAGTAAGTAAAAGCGCGTGAAGTAGTTCTTAAGTTGAAAGCAGTGAGATGTGGCTTTGATTGAGAAACTCTGATTGCCTGCAATTTAAAAAAAAAAAAAAAAAATTCTTTGATGACGCAAGTAGTAAGATTAATTCTTGAAATTCAAAAGAAAATGACATTTCCATAAATGATTAATTTTGTGTTTGAAAATATTGGATTTTCAAAATGTAACTGAACAACATTTACTCTTCTTAATGTAAAGGTCCCTTAAAGAAAAAAAGCGGTTTTTAATTATTCAAATTCTTTAGTTCTTATTAACCAAACTTTTTCACTAGTTGTCAAATCATTTTACCAATTCTGTTTTACATTCAATCCAAATTATTTCTAAATAACCGAAAATTATTCTCGGTTATTATTATAAACAGTAGTACTATTTTGTTCAAATTTAGTGGCCAAACTGTATCTTCTTGCTACTCAAAATATTAGAGTTGGAGCATAAAGGAAATAGAGAGACTGAGAAAAGACTGAGTGTTGTTTCTTTTTAAAATCTATTTTCGCTTTCTAATGCTTTATTTTATCTTTTTTTGAAAAGTAACTTTATTTATTTTATGTTTTTGGCTTTCTAATTGATTTCACATTCTATCTAGAACATAAATTTTGTTTGGCTTTCTTTTTCTTATTTATTAAACAAAAACTAAAAAGCCTCTTTCTTAAACAAATTGATTTTGTTCTTATATATTCAAAAAGCATACTGTATATGATTATTTTGTGACTAGAAAAGTGATTTTATGTAGTACACTTTAATGTTGGCTAATCCTATGTGGATTTGTGAAGATCTTTTAGGTAAGTAGGTAGAAAAGGGCACTAATTTAATCTTATGATATAAAATAAAATAAAATAAAATCAAGAAGGCTAATGTTGCTTTTGTCTTTTTTTCACCTAACCAAATAAAGCATTGCATGTTGACGATACGTCCTCATTCAATTATAGGATGTTTCTACCTGCCTAAATGATATGATAGAAATAAATCTGATTATTGAATACGAAAAAGGAAAAATAGTACCTAACGCTCAAAAGAAAATCTAATAATAAAAATACAACTAAATGATCATAATAAATACCGTAGACTTTGCGTGTGATTTACAAAATTATCATTTTACTTTACCTGATAGCTTTTTTTTTTTTAAAGCAGCACTTATTTTTACAAACATATGCAACCATGAGTTTGCTTCAAAATATTCCTAAATTTAGCTGTAGTATCAATTTCACCAATGGATTATGGATCTCTGTGTTGAATATTGAAATGTTCATCACACCTTTTTCTTTCTGTATTTAAATGTGTAACTGCAGTATTATATTTTATGCATTAAATGTGACGCTGACTGAATTGACTATATGAGTTTATGACCTCTTCAAGGAAACAAAAAAAAAACGGTGATTATTTTGCTGCTGTCTTGCTAATGGTCCAATTTACGCGGGGGCTACTTCACATGATCTGAATAATTTATTTGATGACCCACACGATTAAATGCAACGTTTTCTTTCTTCTCGTTTTGATAACAATGTTGTTCCAAATGTAGATCCTAATGGTTATCCAAATATATAATTTCTAAATAAGAATATCGTATCAAAATGGTTGCAGGTTGTGAAACTAGGTTGAAGGATATAAAGATTAGTTCAGAATCGATGATATAAATTAAAAGCTTAAGGTATAGTAGTAGTAAATAAGTTTTATCACTATGTACTTGTTCTTCCATAATTATGGTATAGAGTGTATTTGAAGATGCCTATTACCCTATACACTAATAAAAATATTCTACTATAGGGCCAAATCGTATCCATATAGGTTGAATGATATATAAGGATTAGTTCAAAATCGATAATATAAATCGAAAGCTTAATTATGAAAGAACAAGTGGATAAAACTTATTTACTACTATACCTTACGGTCTAGAGTGGATATGAGAATGCCTATTACCCTATGCAAGTATTCTACTATAGGCCCAAATTGACAATATCCAAATAGAGTAACACGCATATTTGTCAATATTATTGTTACCCCTTATTGGGCCTATGATCTAGGTACTAGCTATACTACTTACTAGTCCACCGTCCTTGCGCTTAGGCCATTTTAAACACGAGAGACACAATCGAAAAGCAAACTATATTTATATTTGTTTGCCATTTTTGGTGTTCTTTTGCTGAAAAATATGGAAAACTGACAAAATCAATTCGTATTTTACCTTTATACTATGTATTTATCTGTGCTATGCTGCGGAATATTTTTTTAAATTTTATATATATTTTTAATAGAATAAAATTATTTTTATAATATAAATGTGTATTATATTTTTAGTTTAAGTTATGTATTTATATGTTTTAAATCTGAATAAACATTATATATATATATATATTTTTTAAATTATAATTTTCTATTAAATTTAGTTAACTAACTAATTATAAATGTATATATAGAAATAAAATATATAAGAATAAAGCAATACATTTTTAGTATCTTCATGCTAATGGCAAATGTAATCTATTTTCTCTAATAAATTACCACATGATCCTCCTTTGTAATTATATAAAGCAAAATATCATTTAAAAAAGATTTATTAATTAATATAATTATTTTAAATTATAAAATTTATTTATTTATCAAATATTTTATTATAAACATATGTTTCTAAAACTACCAAACTATAATCAATAACATTCATATCAAAACCATTGCTATTGCTTTAGAACTAAATAGAAAATTATGTTTGAACTCTTAAAATATCGTTTTAGTTAGAGTTAAATAATTTAATTTTGGTTACTATAAACATACTTTAACTTGAAAATTTAGCACATAGAAATTTCATCTTCTTACAAAAATTGAGAAATCGCATTTCCCGTCAAAACAAAAAAAAAATCTTCATTTTCCCATTAAACTGAGAAATCGGCTATTCCTACCAAAACCAAAAAATTCATTTTCTCGTCAAACCTAAAATTTCATTTTTCCGCGAGAACCTGTGTTTTTTTCACCAAAGCCGAGAAATTACGTTTTTTTACAAAATCCAAAAAATTCATCTTCTTGCAAAAACAAAAAAAAAAATTGTATTTTCCCGCCAAAATCAAAAAATTTATTTTTTCCTGCGAAAACTGAGAAATCTTCTATTCCTGCCAAAAAAAAAAATCATTTTCTCGTCAAGCCCATAATCACACTTTCCTACAAAAACAAATAAACTACAATTTCCCGCGAAAATCAAAAATTGCATTATCTCCTGTGAAATTGTGTTTTTCCGCGAAAACTAAGAAATTGTTATGTTTTATCAGTTCAAATTTTTGCTGATGTGCATGTGAGCTTCTTATAACATAAGGTTTTTTGCGTTGTTGTCATAGAAGCAAAGTTGATGCTGAGCCTACACTTTTTCAATCATATACGTCTATGTCAAACAAACAGATAGCTATAATTTATTTTATTATTTATTTATTGTTATTTATTATTTGAATTTGGTTTTAGCAAAAAAATAAGAAAACAATGATTTATTTATTATTTTTTTATTATTTGGGTTTGGATTTGATAAAAAATAAAATAATAAGTTAGTAAACTTTGGGCTTTTTAATGGGTCAGCAAAATAGTAAATTGATTTTATTAGTGTGTTAATAATATGTATTATTGTTATGTTTTTATTGGTTCAATTTTATGCTGATGTGTGAGCTTTTTATAACATAACGTTTTTTGAATTGTTGTTATGGAAGCATAATTGATGATGAGTCTATACTTTTTTCAATCATATACGTCTTTATCAAGCAAACACATAGTTAGAAATTTTAATTTTTTTTTGCTGTTATTTATTATTTGAGTTTCGGTTTGGCAAAAATATAAAACAAAGATTTAATTTTATTATTTGTTGTTATTTATTATTTGGGTTTGTTAAAAAAATAAAAAAAAATTATTTGCTGTTATTTATTATTTGGGCTTGGGCTTGATCAAAAAATAAAACTGAAATTAACAATAAAAAATATTTGAGTTTTTAATGGGTTTAAATTTAAAAGGTAAAATAAATTGCTGACTTGTATTAATAAAAAAAATTTATTGGTATTTTTTTTGCTGAAGTGTCATCTCATAAAAGTTTGAAAATGCTGATGTGTCAAGCCATAGAGAGACTTATGAGTTATTGTTGTGTTGATTTCCCACGTGAATTTTCTTTTGCTACGTCTTTTTTTTAACGCTGATTTTTTTTATTCATAAAGATAGAAATAATCAAGTACAGAAAATGATACCCATAGGCATCGAAACAAGGCTTAAGAGCCAAAGTACAAAACAGAGTCTAAGAAAAGAATAGATGTATATCTTTTGCTACGTCAATTAGTATTTATCTGGTCTATGTATTTGTCTTCTATTACCTATTTGCACCCTGAAAAAAAGAGAGATGTAAAAAGATTATGGGCCTGTTCGTTTAACTATGGCAGGAGGTTGCGGTTGCGCCATGCGGCCAGATGGGGCGTTCGTTTACTGGACCCAGCAGCCTATGACCAAATGGTTGCGCCATACGGCCAGATGTCATTTGATTTTTTAGCTGCGGAAGAAATTTAGCATTGCGTCTAGTACTATTGCGTTTAAAGAATTAAGAACATCTCCAGCATTTGGAGGTACTCTTTCCCGTATCTTTCATATATATAATTAATATAATTTATATATTTAATTAAAATTAAAAAAAAAAAGGAAGGAACGAATAATAATTCGACATTTGTAACGTACGTTTCTTAAAATTTTCTAAAAGTTGTGCTATGAGAAACGTAGGTAGTTTCTCTCTCTTGCTTTTTCTTTTTGTTTAATTTTTTATCTTTAAGAAACTCTCCTAATATATTGTGATGGAGATGCTCTAAAAAACTAATATACCTTTGCAACTATTTGTAAATAACAAGAATATATCATTAACCCTAAATCAATTTAACCCTCGATATTTCTGGATGTCAAAAAAAAGAACTAAGATATTCTTCTTCTGCGCCAACTTCACTATTCATCTTTCTCAAGTCAAGCTCCATAACAATGTCTCAGGTTTGTTGATTTTTACTCTTCTCTTCTCTAGCGTTATTTCTCGATTTGTGCTTAAATTTCTTTTGGTCGATTTGTGTTTCAGTGGCTCTCTGTCTCGCTTTGATTTCATCATCATTTCGACCTGTTTTTTTTTTATTGATTTGCAGTGCACATAAACCATGTGGGTTTTGTGTTTTTTTTTTTTTTTTTTTTTTGCAGAATTTGATTTATTTGGGTTTTTGTGTTTTTTTGCAAAACTAACGTATGTTGGATTTTTGTCCGAATTTGATTTAGCCGCACGGTTATCAAACGAACCATAATCACTGTGTCCAAACATAACATCTGATTGCTGGATCACAGTCGCAGCCGCATGCACAGGCAGACGAATATGGCTTCTAGTTAGTAATTCCTACACATTAAAGGCGAAAAATAACCAACAATATTCAATATATTTGTGTTGAAAACTTGTAATTATTTTTTTACTTGGTATATAAAATAATAATAAAAAATTAAATCAATCCACTAATTGCCAATTAATATTGAAAGTTATGGTGAGTTTTTAAAATAATTTACACCAATATATAATCAATAATTTAGACCCATGTGTTGTAGGATTCTTTGTAATTTGTATGGTTGGATATCCAGTTCATCGCTATAAATTTGAAGATAATGTTTCTTGTTCTTTCTTGGATTGTTCATACTTCATACGGTTCAGACAGAAAGCTTTGTATCAGTAGATTATATTATTATTTTTAAAAAAATATTGTTTCGACTTGATTATTGTTTTTTTATTTTCATTTTCAAGTTATATATGTATATAATTTCCTATTTATTTTGAAATGAATAAGTGATTCTAGTTTTGATGTTTTTAGCAAAAAAAGAAAGAAGATTCTAGTTGTGATGATGTTAGCTGATTCTCAACGATATCATCTCAGTTCAAATGATTGGTGTACTCATAATTTGTGTGTGTCCAATTTACGTGACGTAGTCCACTTTATCCTCCAGCTCTACACAAAGACACACATACATACGTATCTATGCATGTGTCATGTGTACATCTGTATAACTATTTACTGTGTTTATAAAAATGTAAGCAGGCGCAGGCGCAGATCTACTTTCCCTAAAAGGTGGGGGCATGTGTACCATGCTACATTTAAGTTGTAGGACAAGCATGTAAAGATGATAAACACTATTTGCCTCCGTGACCTAAATGGTTTTATTGTTCTTGTCCTTTTTGTTCTGTGACATTGACTTTAATTTCTTTTTCTTTTTGGACCAAATTTGACGTTTTCTTCTTCCTAAACATTAATTTTACTATTTTCGAACCATTTAATAAATATATATTCTATCTTTTTTTTATTTCTCTTTTTCTCTTTCTGGTTCATCTAATTTTATTATTCAATAGGCATTTTAAATTTTGTTATAATATTCTTTTATTTAACTAATTACAAAAATATTTAGATAAAACTACAACTAGTATATTTCTAAAATGAAATTGTAAAACTACTTATTTCATGTTGTTTTTTTCTAAATATATACGAAAACTAAATTTATAAGTTTTAATGATACTTGAAATGATTTTTTCAGGATATAAAATATTAATTATAAATATTGTGCGGATTATAATTTAATAGATTTTAATGAACTGTTAAATCCAAACAAAATCACGTGTTATATGATAATTGATTTTAAATTTTAAAATCTTATGCTATTGGTTCTGAGATTTTTAAATTAAATTTAAAATCAAGGGTAACTCAATACAATTTTTTTTTTGCATAAACTTGATTTTAGAGTAGATTTTATTAGATTTGGGAGGATTTCTAATTTAAAAATATAATACTTAATTTGATGAACTTATAAATTTAAGAATATTAATTGAAATTTATGTATTAAATTTTGAAAGGATTTATAAATGTAAATTTATCTCTACTAAAATACACACAAATTATATAGTTAGTTATATAATCACAAAGGAAGACGTCTTTCCTGCAACAACAATGGAAGAAGAAAAGTAAATAAAGAAGAGCGTTGTGACTTGTGACTGACTTGTCACCTTGTCATCATCCTGTAGACGGCTTAATATATCTTTCTCCATTGATATTTTTTACTTTTTTGGTTGAAAATAGAAATGCGTAAATTACGGAAAAACAGAATGATCGTTTAGCTTTTTATGTCGTTAAAAGATAGTACTACTTTTTTTTTCTTTTTTGGTCAAACAAAAGATAGTACTATTTGTTTAGCTTTTCTAGTTTATCTGATTTTTTGAATGAATTATTGTCCTCTTTTCTCTATCTCCTTAATTTGTGTTCTAATGCATTATGCATCGAAAATTAAAGAGGTAGATCCTTCTGAGTTCTTGCATGGTTCAGGTACATGTTTTTTTTTTTAATATTGATAACTTGTTCTTTCTTTGGATTTACACGCTCGTAAACGGGGCCGTGTTAGGATTTTAATTCCAACTTTTTAAGGGAATTACATATATAGGACGACAATTGATAACACAATTAGTATAATTCAATCATTGATTTTGGCCATTAAAACGATAAAACACATAGCATGTTACACAACTTGAATACTTAAGATTCAACAGCAGCAACTAATTTAAAGATTCTCGATATGGCTATAGATAAGAAAGATGACGGTGATGATCGTTTATGCGTTCGAATATATGAGTTGTAACGAAAACATCTTACCAATTTAGATCCAATATATTCGCATCTATGCATGTGTCATGTTCAATATGTGTACAAGTTCTATTATGAATGTATTAACAAGAAAAATATTCTTTATTAAAAAAAATGAGAAATAGAATATATCATTTAAATATTAGTGTTGGTTTAGGATTTACAAAACGGTACAGTAATTATGTAAAAAAAACACTACATTTGAATGATTTGTTCTTTTATTTAAAGCAAAAACAATGTTATCGTTCTTTTAAAAAATATTATCGTTATTATTAATTAACAGTTTTTCATTATATAAAAAGTTGTATGCGTTATTATAAATTAAGATTGGTTTTTACAACTCTTAACTTTTTTGTGGTATTTGAAGGGCTTCTTCTTCAATTTGTCCTAGAATGATTTTACACATTAATATTTCCTTTTCTTTGCTTCTAAACATTAATGTGTGATATTTTAATACATGTTGTGATATTTTAATACATGTTGACCAGGTATTTATTTCATCATTCATGAAATACGTGTTGTGAAATAAATAGATCCAATCAATCGGGTCGCCCCATCCCCTGAATCTTCATATATTTGGGGTCCACCATTAAAATCCTTTATTTGCTAATTATGTACTTGAAATTAGGAGTTCATCTAATTTTATTTAATTAATATAGATTACTTTTCAACCATACTTAACATACGTCAGAACATTTTACGTAGCAGCTTTCGACACTGCATTCAGATGTCCAGAAATTAATCTTGTTCACACGAGATGATCACATCACAATTCACCAAACAAGTTTATTTTTTTGTACCATGCGTTATCTACACAAGAAAAATTTATAGAACAATAATTTGTTTTTGGTTCATTTTGGACTGAAAACAAACGGATTTGATTTATAATTATTCAACAAAAACAAAGTAGAATCTTCCTACTCCATCCGTTTTCACATAACCAAAAAATACTTCATAGATAATCATTTTTTATTTATTTTTCTTATGTCATTTTATAACTCCAATATATTTTTGATTTAAACAAAATATAATTTGTCCTTATCGAAAACTAATGCATATGCAAAGTATTATATAATACAGTGGAGGAATACAATATTTAATTGGTTTCCTTGAGCCTGGTTAAGACAAAATTCACATTAAAATGGTAAGAAGGAAATGGTTTTTTCAACGTGAAGAGAAGCGTCCTTTAGTACTTCTCCGATGGCTCTGGCCTCAAAACTCAAAAATCTGGCATGTTTTAAGTATTTTATAATTTAATCATCACCGCTTCTGAAATAGTCAGAGTTTTACAACGAAGTAAATAATATGCGTGTATATATATTAATTCCTCAATAGAAATCTGTGCTTATACCTCGTACCTTTGCTCTCTTCTCAGGCTTATATTTTCTTTGCAGATAACTGCAGAAGAAAAAGAAGAAGAAGAAGAGATCAAAAGAAACCGAACTTGACCCATAAGAATCCATTCATAATCTGTCTTTAGAACCGCATAAAGATGGGGTTTTTGTCATTATTGGAGGTGGCTTCTATGCCAGTGATTCAAGTTCTCATCATAAGTCTTGTTGGAGCTTTCTTAGCCACTGATCGATGCAAGGTCTTCCCTGTCGAAGCCCGTAATTACATGAACAAGGTAAATCAATCTTAAACCGGATCTCTGAAAAACATATCAAAGATTGTTCTTCTAAAATGAATTCCAAAATTGTGTAGGTGGTGTTTGTAGTATTTGCACCGGCTCTCATGTTTGCAAATCTAGCACAGACGGTAACACTTCAGGACATGATCTCATGGTAAAAACAAAAGTCTATTATTTTTTACCCTTGATAATGGTAAAAATGGTTCAACTAATTTTTTTTTTTGGTTCTTATTGAATGAAATTGAAATTAAAGGTGGTTTATGCCGGTGAATATGGGACTTACATTCTTAATCGGAGGGATTCTTGGTTGGATGGTTGTCAAGATTTTGAAACCACCTCCTTATCTTGAAGGTCTTATTGTTGCAACTTGTTCTTCAGGTATGTCAGTATGTGACAAAACAATATTGGACCTAATAAACGTCATCATCATAATATACTTATATACGTTTTAGATATCTGTTTTGATTTGTTCTCTTGACAAAAGTCAAACTTTGGTGAAAAGGAAATATGGGGAACCTACCAATCATACTTGTTCCAGCAATCTGTGACGAGGACAAGAGTCCATTTGGTAACCGGAGTGTATGCAGAACCGTTGGTCTCTCTTACGCATCTTTCTCAATGGCGGTATGTAATGTTTATAACATTAACCTCTTTCTTTAGAAAAAAGAAGTAAAATTGTATTTTATTATGTTAATTGTGCAGCTAGGGGGTTTCTACATATGGACTTACACATTCCGGTTGATAAAAGGGTCGGCGATGAAACTTAGAGACAAGGAAGAATCTGAGAAATCAACAATCAAATCATCAAACAGTGACTTAGAATCTGATCACATGACCCATCTCCTCGGTGCAACTGAAGACAAGAAAAAGACTGGGTTTTGGAGAAAAGGAGTAGAGTTCTTGCATGAGATACTAGAGGAGCTTCTCGCACCACCAACACTTGGTGCAGTAAGTTTCAACTTACCGACTCTGACTATAGCATTGAGTAATATACAAAATAATGAACTAAATACCTAATGTGACATGTTTGTTGTTTTTTGTAGATTATTGGTTTCATATTCGGTGCAGTTGAATGGCTCAGAAATCTTATCATAGGTGATGCTGCTCCTCTACGGATAGTCCAAGCCACTGCAAAACTTCTTGGGTAGTTACCACAATCTTGTCATTTAATAACACTGTGTCCGGTGACTAACTTAACCGATTTGTACAGAGATGGGACCATTCCTTGCATGACAATAATACTAGGAGGCAACCTCATACAAGGTAACTCTCTCGATCAACGGCTTGCATTTCACTCTCAGTTAAAAGAAACAAATTCACTGTTGTCAAAGTGACAAAAAAAATTAAAATGATTTCGAAGGGGACCTACTAGAACTAGTATATGAATGCCTTGGGCCACAGACGGTATGGTACATTTCTATTAAAAAAATATATTGTATTTTAAGGTTTTCTATTCTCTCTTAATTTTGTTTAACAGCTCTTGTTATTCACCCGTTTACTGTGGTTAAAATTACCAGGTTTACGTTCTTCGGCGGTAAAACCAGTGGTTGTACTTGGGATAGTATGTGTTCGGTACATAATTCTCCCAATTATTGGCATAGGCATTGTTAAAACAGCTGCTAGTTTTGGATTTCTTCCATTGGATCCTTTGTTTCAGTATGTTTTAATGCTTCAGTTCACACTCCCGCCTGCCATGAATATCGGTCAGTCTCATAAACCATCACCGTCACTGCATGCAAATCAAAACAATAATACTAAAATTGAATAACTCTGTAGGTACCATGACACAACTGTACAATGTTGGTCAAGACGAATGCTCAGTGCTCATGCTTTGGACATACTTGATCGCGATTCTTGCACTAACTGTTTGGTCCACAATCTTCCTTCATTTGTTAGTCTAGAGCACAACAAGATTCTTCTATCTCTCTACAGCTACAGATTCGATGAGGAAAACAGAGGCAACAAGGTCCTCCTCTCGTCAAGGAATCTTAAACATTCTTTTTCGTCTTGATTTGATCATAACTGAAATATTTTTCTGGTTGCATTTGTAACTTTCCGCACGTTTTCATTTTTCCTCTTGCCACCATTGTAAAACGCAGAAATTGTATCAATTTATTAGTGAAAAAGCATATGTTTATTCAAGAAAAACAAAGGATCACAAAAGTGATGCATTGCCAAAAATAATCAACGATTATCAAACTCAAAACATATAATAAAATAACTTTATTGTCACACTATAAAAATGAAATAGGAAGAAATACATTATCTTGATATTAGTCTGCATTTAAGATATTTTTAGTTGTATAATAAAATAGATCTGCGTCCTATTAGTTTACATTTAGTCTATCATTAGTTTATAAGAAAATTATTTATAAGAATAACACTGATATTTATAAATATTATTTAAAAAATATATTATTAAAAATTTCTAATAGATAGGTATACGCTTGACATTATCTTTCTATTTTAGGTCATTTGGAGAATTTTTTTAAATAAATATATACTAGGTGATTGGCCTGAACTGTGTGCAGACTATAAAACATTTTATATGTTCAATTATGATTAATATATTATTAAAAATATTTTATTTAAATATGATTAATTATGTATTAATAATAAAATAATAAATATTTGATAATTAAAATAACGACAAATTAAATATAAAATATTATATATTTCAATAGAAAATAAAAATAAAAATATTAACTAAGATTTTAAAATATTTCTTTGGATAAAAATGTAAATATGGTAACTAAATAAACGGGAAAACATTAAAAATATAATAATTTATTTAATTTTTATTTTTGGTCTGCATACATGTACAAATATAATTTTTAATAGACATAATTAGTTTGTAATATTTAAGTATTGATTAATTTTCTTATACATTATGTAAATGTTATGTTTTTATACATATATAATTTTAGTGTTTAACAACAATCACCCAAACGTTTCATATCGTTTTGTGTCTTTTGAGAACTTTTTATTTTTTCTAGCATTTACAGTAATATATAATTGTAAATGTAAAAATTATATTAAATAATAATTAAATTTTTATAATATATCTTGAATATTATCTATATAATACTTTCTTTTTCTCTTTACATAATATTATCTTCTCAATATATATATTTTAGTATACATTGTTTCTTGACCTATTGCTAATTAAACCAAAATGAATTCTACCATATTTATTTATCCTAAGAATAGGGCCGTGCCTACCTTTATACGCAAGAGGCTTTCGCCTACGACCCCATTTTTTAAAAAAAATTAACAGAGAAACAGTAAAATTTGTATGTGTGAGTTTGTCCGTTATGGTTAACTAATAAGTATGATCAAGCCCATTTACTTCTTTAACACAAAATAACAATAGAAAAACATTATGGTTTGTACGTATTTTTTTTGTCTTTCTATTGCCTACTCCATCATCTCTATATTTCATTCAAATTACTCTATCAAACATCATCAATTCATCATTAGGGTAAATTTGTTATTTTTAATTTATGTTACTTCTTTGTTCTTATATATTTTTATATAGTTCTTAATCATCATTACCAATTTTAACTTAATTAACAAACTAAAACATTGTATTTTAAATTTATAAATGCATCAATCAACAGAATAAACCAATAAAAAGCAAAAATAAAACCAAAAAAAAAGTTATCAAAAAGAAAAGAGTAAATTATTTAAGCAAATATTAAAAAACAAAATTGTCAAAATCTCAAACTAATTAAATACTATATAAGTATTTTTTAAATTTTTTATATAATTGAAAAAAATTGTTATCGCCTACGGCATCAAATTATGTTGGCACGGCTATGCCTAAGAGCGGGTAGATAGTTGGTCCGCACATTCGTGCGTACCAACCACCTCACCGGTCTTAGGACATATAAAGATTTGAAAAAAAAATTGTCTAGCAACTAAAATTAAAATTAGAGTGTAACTGAGGTTAACAAAATGTATGCACGAGAAATTTGCATTCGAGTTTGATTTTTACACAATTAATATTTATATCTATACGCATATTTGTAAAAAAATCGAAGTATAGCTTTTATGTGTTAAAAGAAAATAACAAAGTATATGTTTTGTAATATATATTTTTATAATGTATGGTTGATTTTTTTTTGTAAAAAATAATAAGTATATTTATGCATATATGTATGAGTTAGAAATAAGTGAATTGTAATATTTAGGTGTTGGTAAGTTTTTTCTGATATTTTCCACAAATGTTATGTTTTTAGACGATGCAGTTATTGGCGTTTAACAACAATCACAAAAACCATTTTTATCATTTTGTATTTATTTAAAGTTTCTTATTTTTCAGATTTTGAGGATATATGGTTTCTCAATAAAAAATTTAATAAAAATTTATTATAAGATTTGTGAAATCATATTTTATAAAATTCTCCGGTAGCTCTCCATTCATCTTTTCGTCAAATTTTTTATAATCCACAATCGGTCGCTTCCACAAACTCTTTGTAACCAAATCGTATAAACCAATCGGATCTAAACGTATATGTGTATGATTTAAGGTATAAAATAATTTATTTAATATTCGATTGTTGTTAAAAATTAAGAGTTGATCTGTTCCTAACTTTAATATATTTGTTAATATAAAATATAATGAACCACAATATATACAAAACTTAATTCCTGAAATAATGTTTTAATATGTTAGGAAAAATATATGCATTAAAGAATTAATATGTGTAAGATAATATTTTTAAATATTTCAAATAAAAAATAAAAATTGATCAAAATTATTCTTATTTATTTTTTTATCTTCTTTGGCTAATATTTGTTTCTTAATATTTAATAATATATTAAACATTAAGATTATATTCAATGTATTTTTCTATTTTTTCCTTTAAAATATAAGTGGACTTCTCTCCATCCTATTTTCATTTTACAAGAAAAAAAGATTGTTATTTTATCCTCTATAATTGGAAGAAAAATAACAATTTTTCTTTTCTCCATAAATTAGAAGATTTAAAATAAAAGTGGGTTGAAAATGATTTAAACAAAAAATATAGCCTGAGATTTTTACATAAAACCAAAGTCGTAAAGATTCATTTTTACTTTTACTTTTATTTTTTATTCATATATATAGTATCATAATAAAAAAAAATTAGCTAACAGAATACTTATAATTTATTTTACTATCTGTTTATTTTTTTGTTTCTTTGATAATTTTGTATTCTTGCTATATAATGATAATTCATTCATATATGATACAAAATTTTCTTTTTTAAAAATGAAATTTATTTAGTGTTAACCAATCAAAACATTTTATTTATTTTAGGAAATTTGCCATGTCACATTTATGAGGTGGCATTATTTTACACTAACTTTTGCTAAGGTTATAACATATCATATTTTTTTATTAAACATGTTTCTCATAATAGTTAAGATTCATCTTAATTTAAACTAGGTAATAACTTGCGTCATATGTAGGATAAAAAATCTATATAAAATTTTACTAATGTGTATGATTATAAATAAAATTTAGTTTATTATTGCAATACCAAATATGCTAGTTGAGTATATAATTTTATAATTATTTTTAATTTACATATACGAATGTAATTGTCATACTAGATCGTAAAGATATCAATATTTTAAAAATAATACATTTTTATATTAAAATATTAAATGTACATAAAAGATATATAAAAATATATTATATTTTAAGAAAATTAATACTATTTTTCAATTATCTAAAATTATATATCACTAAGTCAATGTTTATAAATTCTTAAATGTTTTGATCCAATAAAAGTATTTATATTATCAAACAAATTGATCAAACTATAATATAATATCTTAACTAAATAATATTTTAAATATTGAGATTTTTTGAGAATTACTACTTCTCTAATTACTACTTTCAAAACTACCATCAATCAAAATATTATTTTTATTGACCATTATATCCTTGTATCGATAAAACATTCTCAACCAAAAAAAACCCCGATATCGAAAGAGAAGAACGACGGTGATCGCTGATAAGCGATTTCGTATCTCGCTGACAATTTTGTATCTCGCCAGCGATTTCGGTTTAACTAACTGAAGTACATCGTCTATCGCCGGTAATTCTGCTGGATTCATTGAGCAAAGGTATGACCCTTCTGATTCTGTCAAATCTCAAAAAATTTGTTGAATTTTTGGGAAATTATGATTCATTGGCATAAGATTTAGGGGAAATGATGATGTGTTGTCGATTATAAGTTTTAGTGATAAGTAGATATACCAATTCGTGAAGAAGAGGTTCCGATTGATTCTTAGATTCTTGATGATAAATTTTGTAAATTTGTAAATCCTTATAAATTGTTATATTCTTTTCATCAAGCAAAATGCTTGAGATATATTTTGTGTGTGGAGCTTAGAATTTAACTAATACCACACAATGTGTGTTCGTTGTTGATCCTGACAGAGAAGCTTCTTTTATACTCATCAAAGAGAACATAACTTACAACAAGCTGGTTGCGATTGTTTTAGAAGATTTTGGAATTGATGGCAATGCCAATGGTCTGAAAATTAGCTATTGATCACTTTCAAGCTCTTTTTTAGGGTCAAAAAATCTCCCTCCTATGGTCATTAGGAATGATTGGCAACTAGAAGCTTTTATGCACAAGATTCAAGAGAGTGGAGGAGTTTCTGAGTTATGTGTGACAGTGAAGGAAATAAAAAGCACGGAACCTGCTACTGAAGTTTCTAGCTCCCATTGTTGCCCCCTTCGTGCTATGGATGAGGTAATTACTATAATTATTTTGTGTCTATATGATTACAAAGCAAATTCATGAAGTATAATGTTTATGTTACCGAGAGAAACAAACTCTCGTTCATTCATGGTTTGAAACAACATTCATATAAGTAATGAGAGATTTACTGCCCCCTGCTGCCCCACACTTTGTTGTGAATGAGGTATTTCATGAAGCTTTGGCATGGCTTACAAATTAATTTTTATGAATGAATATACTGTACTCAATAGGACTTACAAAATCTTGCAATGGGCTTTTCAATTTTGCAGTTTGAAGAGAGTTTTATTGCTCCATCCATTCCCTCAGTTGTGGTATGCTTATAAAAAAATGAGCCTTATAAAAGGTTTTATAATCTGTTCATCCCTAATATATATGGATGTTTCTATTCTGCAGAGACGATCCCAATC